ATATATTTTAAAAAAAAAGCATTTAATTATCTAAATAGTAGAATAGCATTATTTCTAACACCAAAAAAACAAACAACCCAATTAAAAAATGGGCAGAGGACATGAAGAGGCATTTCTCTAAAAAGGACATACAGATGGCCAATAGACATATGAAAAGATGCTCAAGGTCACTAATCATTAGAGAAATGCAAAAAAACCCACAATGAGATACCACCTCACTCTGTCAGAATGGCTATCATCAATAAATCAATAAATAACAAGTGTTGACAAGGATGTGGAGAAAAGGGAACCCTCATGCACTATTGGTGGGATTACAAATTGATGCACCCACTATGGAAAACAGTATGGAGGTTCCTCAAAAAATTAAAAATAGAACTACCTTATGACCAGCAATTCCACCCCTGGGTATTTATCCAAAGAAATCCAAAACACTACTTTGAAAAAATATATGCATGCCTACGTTTACTGCAGCGCTATTCACAATAGCCAAGATATGGAAACAACCAAAATGCGCATCAATACAATGGACTATTACTTTGCTATAAAAAGAATGAAATCTTACCATTTGCAATAATATAGATGGACTAGAGAATATTATACTAAGTGAAATAAGTCAGACTAAGAAAGATAAATACCATATGATCTCACTTATATGTGGAATCTAAAGAACAGAATAAATGAGCAAACAAAACAGAAATAAACTCAGAGATACAGAGAAAAAAACTGGTGGTTGCCAGAAGGGAGCGGGGGTTGGGAGATGGGGGAGAAGATGAAGGGATTAGAAAGTACAAATTGGTAGTCACAAAATAGTCACAGGATGTGAAATACAGCATGGGGAATATAATCAATAATGTTGTAAAGATCATGTAGGGTGCCCGATGGGTACTGGACTTATCAGGGGGATCACTTCATAGACTGTGCAGATGCCTGACCACTGCGCTGTACACCTGAAGCTGAAGTAGGATAATACTGAATGTCAACTATAATTAAATATATGTGTGTGTGTGTGTGTGTGTGTGTGTGTGTGTGTGTGTGTGTAGTCACAGGATGTAAAGTACAGCACAGGGTAGTCAACGGTATCGTAACAGCTATATACGATGTCAGAGGGGTAGTACTCTTGGGGGGGTTTATCACTTTGTGAAGGGTGTAAATGTCTAATCATTATGTTGTTTTGTACACCTGAAACTAATATAATTTAAAAAAGCAAAACGTTAAAAAAATAGCATTATATAAACTTTAGAAACACATTAACAATACCATATGTTGCTTATGGGCACACACATAGGAAGTGAATAAAAACGTCAAAGGAGAGCTACAATCTCATTTTATAATAGTGTTTACCTCTGTGGAGAGTTTCAAAAAGTGCAATAACTATATCTATATGTCTGTATACATGAATACATAAACATTTCTATGTGTGTTTCACACAATTTGCGGCAAACAAGGCCAAAGGTTAAAATAGGTTAAATCTAGGTGGTGAGTACATGTTTGTTATTTGAAATCATGTTATCCTCTATACAGTTGTGTATATTTGAAATAGTTCTTAACAATAACAAGAAAAATAAAGTGCAAATGGTAGTAAGTAGAAATGGTTTGGCTGCACTACTCAGAAAATTAATTCTGGAAATAAGTTGACTATGGAAAATGATTTCCCCATGAAAACTCATCGATAAGTGATAATCTAATCATCAACCAGCATTTATGGTTTGCTATGTATATCCCAGACAATACTCTAAGCCCATTCCCTGCATCATCTCGGTTGTCCTCATTTTGGAGATGGGGAAACCGAGGCGGGAGGTCGCAGCGGTAAGCAACAAGGCCCGGACGCGCGCCCCGGACTGCCGGGCTAGAAATCAAGGGTGGGAGGTCCCGCAACCCGACCGCGGCCCAGGCCCGCCTGGCCGGCCCCTCTAACCTTGTAGAGCGTCAGGTCGACGTGTCGCCAC